ACACACACACACACACACACACACACACACACACACACACACACACAATGGAATCTCAGCATGAATGCTGGGTATCCAGGTGACTTGTAACTGAAAACAGCTAGAAACTGTCCTGGCATCTCAACCAATTCAGCTATAGCTCAGACCTCTGAAAACCCTGTTTTGACCATCTTCTCTGAATAACAAACTTTAAACACTTCTCAACTTCAAACAAAAGCTTTCAGAGATGCTAAAACAATGTATCAGGCATTCAGCTAAATCCCAAGAGGAGAAAAGATTGCCTTCTTTAACCCAGGGCTAAAAACTTGGTACCTGAGAATCAGGCAGTTAGTGGATGAAGGCAACAGACTGATGTCTACAGGTCAAGATGCTCTGGGGATATTAATGCCTCAGAATAAAATTCACTTAGCAGGATAAAAATACCTTAATCGGAAATGTAGGAAATGAACATTTTTGTTCCTGTAAGCTAAGCCACTGGGTAATTTCTATTCAAATCTTCTGGGATTTATAACCAAATTTTAGTTTCTCTTGGAAGTGATACATGCTATAGAGTTAGATCCTATCTTTGCTCTTGCTCTCCCTTCATTGCCTGTCTTCTCCTACAATATGGACACTGTGGGCATTTATGGTGCATATAATAACAGTTGTAGGTCATTTTGATATTGTTTGGGTCCCTTTTAAGATGAATGTTTGACTTGTAAGAATTTGGGGGCTTTCTGTTGCTATTATCACTATGCAAATGCTCAGCTGACTTAGAACTATCCACTAACTCTCAGGTTCTAATCACTCTCAGAGTGGGTGGAAGGCTTGCATTACGGTGCATCTAGAAAGATGCATCTGCATTTGCACTTTCTGCCTTCATCTCCGGGGTCCAGAGGGGCAGAATCCTGAAGGAAGGAGAACACAGGATCTGAGTTCACCCACGGGATAGTAAGGCCTAGCAGAAGGCCAGGAGACTTCAGACCAAAGAAACCATGAGGAGCTTCCCTAAAAATGTCATCATGTGAAAAAACTTTTATTTACATTTACTGTACATTTCAAACTAGCCAGAAAGGGGGATTTTGAATGCTCTCAAAGCAATGAAATGTTAAACAGTGCAGACCATGGGTTTGCTCATTATCCTAATTTGACACTCTTTACATAGAACACACATACCCTCAAATATGTATACTAATGTGTCAATTAAAAATAATTTAAAGTTGACGAGCATTTTTAAATTATTTTACCAGTATCGATAAGAACACATTAAATCAAAACAAATGTAAAAAGAGAATTAGTCATTTGATAAACATTCTTTTTTGCCTTTTACCAGAGTTCTTGCTTGTGGCCAGTAGTTAGAGCAACGGAGTTATTTGCTAATAAATTAGAAGAGGAGTAAATGAACAAATGAAAGCGACTCTCTCACACCCCCACACTTGGAGTTGTCTATGCCTTCCTTGCTGCTCTGGCATCTGGGGCGCTGCCCCAGTCTCTGCTCACTGCTGTGTGGCATCCTTCATGTGGGAAGAGTGTTCAGCAGAGCCGAGCCCCACCTCCCAGGAGGTCAGTGCCCCGTTCAGCCACACACAGATTAGCGAACGGGTGTTCACTAGCAAACAGATTTGTAATCCACAAGTGCAGAAAAGTCCTCAGCTCAGGGTGAGATGTTTGCCTGAGAAGCCAGTACGGCTGAGAAGGGAAATGTGCAAAAGCCGAGAGAGCAGACTCCATTTTCCTGTGGCTGATACAGGGCGAAGTTGCTGGCCTTTGGATGGGCAAGGTGCCCCATTTTCAGAGACTATTTATTTTTTTATCTCCAACATACATGGATCTCCAGAGTCTTGTTTTCTAAAGAAGAGGGGGTGGAGAAAGAGAGACAGAGAGAGGGAGAGAGAGAGAGAGAGAACAACCTTCATGGGGTGTCCATCGAGAACAGAAGAGGTCATCCGGTTTCCTGGAGCTGGAGTTACAGGCGGTCAGTGAGCTGAATTCGGGTCCTCTGCAAAAGCAGCATTTTTTAACTGCTGGGATGTCTCTCTAACCATTAGATTTAAAAAAAAATCTTAATTTTCCTCAGACTCAGTTTTATGGGGTCATTATGCATATTGCTATGTCCATACTTAGTACATGGAAAACTATAGCTACAATAACTCAGTTTTTATTACTGGAACCCAGAAGTCTTTAAGGTTGAAATGCCATTATTTCTAGAGTTTACTTCTAAGTGGTAGAAAGGCCAGGAAGACATGTGTAGAACCAAGGCAACCGTGGAAAGTGTAAGCGGTAAATCTACACTGAAAGTAGCCAGGTCTTGGTGGTACTGTCGTGTCAACAGTTCTGTAAGCCTGGCGTCTTTCAAAGTACAAAACTAAAAAGATTGTAGCGGGGTGGGGGGGGAAACAGTGCTATTGTGTGTGCCTGGATAGTCAGTGTGCTTGGTGCCTTCAAACCTCTCCTGCAAAGACAAGAATGGGAACGCCACCCCCTGCCTCCTATGCTCCCTAAGTGTCACCCATGGTAAGATGTAGAGGAGTTTGCCAGCTGTTAAGTCCTATCTGGCCACTGGAGTTTGTAGATGGGCTTCGGAAAGGACCAACACAGGCCTAGACCGCTGGGCCATGCTTCCTAGTCTGCAGATCCCAGCCAATCAATGTGGGCACACCCACTACCCTGTTACATATGTATGACCTGGGCTGGCCTCCTGGCTTCTGTTCTGGCCACAGCACCAGATGCAGGCAGGCATTTGCTCCTGCTTCTGAGAGAGGGGAGCAGGTCAACTCTGCAGGCCCCTTTCCCGAAGCTCATTTGGAACAGACCCCGGCTAGCAGGCTCCCAGTTTCTCAACTCCCTGGCTGTCCCCAGGGAACCACCAGCTGCAGAACAGTCCTCATGAAAACCTCAAAGGCATCCCAGCGCTACAGAAGCATCAGGAGAAATGCCAGCCAGTGCTACCTCTACCAGGACGCTCTGCTGCTTGGGTGAGTGCCCTGCTGGGTTCTCCAAAATGAATGCAGAAAATCACTTCTCTGGGGTCATGTGGAACCGGGCTGGTGACCAGGACAATGCTCGGAGGGAGACAGCTGCAAGCTGCAGCTTCTTGACCAGAGCACCAGGCTCCATCCCGCATTCACTGTGTTGCCCACCAGTTCTACACATGGGCTTCATCTGCTATTCCTCAATCGCTAGTGTTGGAAGAGAGGAGATGTGACATCTCCCACCTCAGATAAATCAGGTGCCTGCTGGGAAAAGCTGAGAACTTAAAAGTGGGCGAGGGTGGGAACCGAACGCATTAGGTTTTTATCAGGGATATTTTTTGTTAAATGCTTAAAACCTGTGCTGAGGCTAGAGAAATTTTTCTTTGAGGAAATAAAAGACCTCTCTACTAGAATTAGAGGAAATGTTTTCTCTTGCAAAAGCTAATAGATTATTTGTCTCCTCCTAATACAAAAAGTATTGAATTACTTATTAAGCATTACTAGGGGGAAAGGCCCTATAATATGCTGAAAAAAAAATTTGTTTTTCTACACAGTAGCTGTGCCCTGGAGGAGTGTCCCCCATGCATTTACTTCAGTCATATTTTGTTTGCAAAAACCACTGCCTGCTTCTTCCTCTCTTGTCTTGTGTTTAAAATGAACACAAGTGAGCAGAGGCTAAGCGACACAGGTCTGTATTTATTTCTTTGCTGGTCACCTTGGTGAGCCTATAGATGACACTGTGTCCCTTATCAAAACTACTGCTCCTCAAGAGTGGAATAAAACACGGGATTCCTCTCCTCTCTCCTTTGGTCTCTCTCGCCTTGAGAAGTCACTCTTTTTTGCTGACCACTGACTAGAATCCCACAGATGAGTTTCTATGGACTGCTGACTCTACCAAATCCTCTCATCTATAGATCCTTACACACACACACACACACACACGCACACACACACACACACACACACGCACGCACGCACACTATATAGATGATTCTGAAGCAGCAAGATGCAGAAATTACGCAAGAAAGATGCTCTTTGCTGGAAGCAATTCTGTAATTAGATTTCCTCCGTTATGCCCCTTTTCCATTCAGTAACTCCGATGACAGCTTTAATGCTGATGAAACGGGGGACAGCAGTGATCCAGAACAAATCTTCCAGAACATACAGTTTCAGAAAGATCTCATGGCAAATATTCGCTGCAGACCCTGGACCATGGGGCAGAAGCTGCGGGCACTGAGGTAAGGGCCTCCACAGCAATCATTGATAAGGGTGAACATACATTCTGATAAACAGCCACATCCTGCCTATGGTACTGACGTGAAGAACGATGCAAGAACTGTGACCATCTTGAATCTGACTTGGAGAAGTCCCAAAGATGCTTGAGGGGACCCTGTAGTCACATGGCTGTTACAGTGCCTCTGGTGGGGGGGGCAAGCGTGGGATGTTATATGTGTGTGTATTGTGTGTGTTGTGCTGTGTTCATAGTCAGTTTGGGGTTTCCAATCTCTTTTTCAAATACTAAATTTTCACTATCTCCAAACTCACAAGAGACCAGGTGAAAGCCAGAATCAAAGAGCCATCTACTTAACTTCCTTGCTTTTATCTCCCCTGGGAAGAACATCTCTACAGGAAGCCAGGTTATTAGGATATTTAGAGTCTATTAGAGAGTCCATCTCAGTCATAGTTAAGTGATCAAGCTTTGAAGACAGATTCCATTCCCTGAATTCAAATACTGCTTCTTCGGGTCTCTAGCTGTTCGGCACTGAACAAGTTCCCTAATTTCCCTAGATACAGCATCCTCTCTTTAAAGCTGAAGTGAGGGCAAACAATGGTGCCGATGATGCCAACCTCCTGCAGCAGTGTTGCCAAAAATGCCAACAGCTAAGCACTCAGAGCGCGTTCAAAACCACCGCCTGTGGCATCCCTCACAACCAGAACCAAATGCAATGGGAGATGAACCCTGTCTCCCATGCCCTGTCTCATCTGGCATCTCTGTGATATTGGGAATAGAACCCCAGGCTTGCACGAAAGTCCATACTCGACCACTGAGCTACATCCTGGGTCCCTTGCACTTTAAATATTCATTCAGCTTGATCTTTTTGTCCACTCAAATTTGAACTTCTGAAGTTTGAGCATATTAAGAATTAGATGCACCAAACACTGTGAATATTAGCTTTGCATTCACACCTAATAATGTGATATTCACACCTAAGAATGGGTGCAACTGCCAAGAGATCCCATAAGGGGAGCTGGTGGCATAGTCTTCATGACCATGAATAGGAGTGCAAGTTCCTGAGAAAGCAGCCCTCATACGTGATGCTCAGGCACATACTGTACATGCCCAGAACTACGGCTCCACCTTGCTCTTCAGGGCCATGTTTCTAGATGCTAGTGTGTGTTCCTTTGTCTTCCATCTATAAGGCATGTGCACATTTCTATCAAATCATCCCTTTCTGAGATTTAAGTTCCAGTATGACCAACATGACCTTTGAGCTAAAGCCATGTCCACTTTCATCTCAGAAATCTGCAACAAATTCTCCTCTGCCCACTCTCTACACCTGTTTCTGGATCTCATCGTTTCTATCCTTTGAGGGTAAGCAGCACTGTGTCTGTTTATCAGATGAGAAGACTGATGGCAAGCAGCCTGAGAAAATGTAGCTTATGAGTGCCAAGCTCAGCTTTAAACTAGATACTCTGACCCCAAGTCCAGGGTCTCTTGTGTTGAACCATAGAGATTTTATGTAATCTTTAGAGCAATTAATTTAAAACTAAGTAAGATTAAGTTCTACTAGAACTTTTCAAACATCATTCGGAAATTACAGTTTTTATCTGAGTAATGGGAAGTTAAATTACATGTGTGTCTGTGTGTGTGTGTGTGTGTGTGTGAGAGAGAGAGAGAGAGAGAGAGAGAGAGAGAGAGAGAGAGAGAGAGAACTGACCTGTGTGTACACTAGTCGAGGCCAGGGGTCAATATCAGGCATCTTCATCTCCTTCTGTTCCTCTCCACCTTATTCTTTGAGACAGAGTCTCTCATTGAACCTGTAGTTCACTATTCCAGCTAGACTTGCTCGATGGTGAGTTCTCAATGCCCTATCTCTTCTCCCACCCACCTGGTGCTAGGCTTACGATACACAAAACTGTACCCAGCTTTTACCTGGGCAAGGTATCCGACCTCACTTTCTCATGCTAATGCAGAAAGCAGTTCACTCCTTCGAGCCCCCTCCCCAGCCCCAGGTTAAATCTTTATAATATTGAGACCAGAACAGAGTAAATGCTTTCCATTCTTTCAGATAACTTCAGGAAGAAAACGCAAATCCTGATGCCTGGTGAATTCAGTCATGCTCCCTGACTCACTGGAGCTCCAAAAGGTCAGACACGGGCCACACCTTGAGCTGGCAGCGAGGCTTCTTTGTCATCCCCTTGTGACCCATATCTCTTGCCCTTTACCTTGAAAAGCTACCGGAGCACCACTTCACTAATTGGACCCACCAAGGCTCATCCTGGTGTCTGTGGAGGGTGCAGAAGGCACTGAACCCTGACTGCTTAGAAATCAAGAGTGACACCAATCTCAGTAAAAGCTGTGAGGGTGCTGCACACACTTGTTTCCTGCTACTGGGCCTGTGTTATGTGGTCCTCTCCCTCATCCCTTTGCACCTGTCATCCTCCAGGACACACAGCTGCTGTGTCCATGCTTCTTCATCACTGCATCTTGACAGCTAGGTCATCTTTACTGAGCAGGGAGCCCTTCCGGAATCAGTTTTTTGTTTTTTTTTTTTTTGTTTTTTTTGTTTTTCATGTCTGTCTTCCACACTGTCCTTGACCTAAAATAAGAGAGTGCAGAACATACATGCAGGGAACAAGGTTACAAATAAGACGATGAAATTGTTTGCTATTTTGACTCTCGAAGTATTTTATTTTTCACAATTGCATATTGTATGCACATGTAAAGGGTGCCGCTAATATGATGGTCCTGGTATGGGCTAGGATGTTAACTCTTATCCTTTATACACTTATTATTTTGATCAGAGTAGAGCCAAGATGTGTGATGGGCTACATTAAAACTCTGAAGGTGGAGACAGGAAAATGAGAAAGTTCAAGGTCATTGTTGGCAGTGAGGCAAGTTCAAGGCCAGACTGGGCCACACAGGAGATCCAGTGTCAACAAAAACAAAGTATGATGAAGGTATTGTAGTCAGTGGGGCAGAAGCCTAAAATCCAGATTTTGGTGAAGTAGTGATTTGGGGAAGTCATCTTGTCAGTGGAAATGGGAATTGCCTTGTGTCCTCTAAAGGATTTCCATCTAGCGGGCTTAGGGAAGGAATATACAGGAGCAGCCGATTAAACAGACTTTTCAAGCTCGAGCTGACTGACTGACTGAGAGGAATGAGCTCCTTAAAACTGAGTGTAATCCCACAGAGAAGCTGATCACCAGGTGTGGGTGAACATCTCTGCCTCGAGGTTGTGTATCATTGGGTCATTGGAACAGTGTTCATCTCTAAGAGCCTCTGACATCAGCATGGCCCATGGTGCTAACATCTACATTTCAGTCTTGCTACTCATTGGTTATTATTTTAACCATAACCATCCCAGTGAAATCAGGCTATTGTGTGTACGTACGTGCCATTACTTGTTTGTGTGTGTGTGTGTGTGTGTGTGTGTGTGAGTGTGTGTGTGTGTGAGTATGTGTGAGTGTGTTGTGTGTGTATAGGTGTGTCTGTGTGTGTGTGTGTGAGAGTGTGTGTGAGTGTGTTGTGTGTGTGTAGGTGTGTGTGTGTGTGTGTGTGTGTGTGTGTGTGTGTGCATTATCTGTGCACACACTGGAAGTTAGAGGGCAGCCTCTGGTGCCATGAGTCAGGACTCCTTCAGGCTCATTTTATAAAACAGGGTGTCTCACTTATCTGCCGCTCGCCTCACCAAGCAGGCTAGGTTGGCTTGCCTGTTTCCAGTACCAAAATTCCAAGTGGTCACCATCATACCTACATTTCTGAATGTATTTGGGTAACTGAACTCACGTGTCAATGCTTTCTAGGAAAGCATTTTATTGACTAAACAAATTCTATCCATTTTTCAGGATCAAGCATTTTCCAGGTAGCACACACTTTTAATTCCAGCACTCTGAGAGGCAAGGGCAGGAGGATCTCTGAATTTGAGGCCAGCCTGGTCTATAGAGTGAGTTTCAGGACAGCCAGGGCTACACCGAGAAACAAAAAATCTTAAAAAGTATGAGACATTTAAGTGGTCCATGTGTTTGTCATTTGTCAAAACTGGATCAGGTCAATATCCATGTAAACAGAACTTTGCTGCTGTCATTAACCTCACAGTGCCCCTGAAGCAGGATCCTTGAAGATAGGTGTAGTTTTCACTCTTGAAGAACTGACTAGAAGGGGCTGGAAAGACAATGATCCTCCAGAGAACCAGTACATACAAGGATGTAAGTCCCTGACCACTACTGCATTCACGTGATACAGGAGTATACATGCTGGCAAACACCCACACACACAAAATAAAAATAAGATCTCAAGAAATGTAATAAAAAAGAAATGCCTGGAAGAGGCGAGCTGGCAAGGGGAGGAGCTGAGATATGGTGGCTGCTCTCAGAATACCCAAGGCCTGGGATTCCCACCAGCCACCAGCCTAGGAAGCACGTGAAAGTCAGGCATAAGTCACTGGTAGAACTCACAATTTGCAATTAGTTCATCTACATAAATGATAAAACAGTTTTCAGGTGTGTGTGTGAATTGATGTGCACCATGTGTATACCGATGTGATGTCTGTGAAGGTCATAAGGGTGTTTCCAGTACCCTGGAACTGGAGTTATAGGTGGCTATCAGCCACCATGTGAGCTCTGGGAACAGAACTCAGGGCCTCTGAAAGAGCAGTAAACACCCTTAACTGCTGAACCATTTTTCCAGCCCCTTAAAATAGTTTTAAAGGCATTTTCTTGTTATCCAAAGTCAAGAAATGAAATATTTCAATTCGACTCCTGTATCATTCGGTGTTCTTTTTCCTTCTGTGTCTTCTCTCAGACGAGCAAAGGAGATTGTACTGAAGTTTGAAGGGAGGTTGACTAGAACCCGAGGCTACCAAGCAGCAGGAGCAGAGGTAAAGAGCACGCACGCACGAGGCAAGGCCAGCCTCATTTCTGGTTGTCTCTAGAACCCAGCGGCTGCCATTACCCCCATAGTCACTCATAGGTTAGGAGTATCCCCCATTAATAACTGTAGAATAGGGGTAGAGCCAGCAAGTTCAAAGTCTACCAAATCTGGATCTGACTCCTGGATACCACCAGATTTCCGTGGTATAGTATAGATAAGCCTAGTTCATTGGGGAAAGAATTTTTTTGTGAGACTTATCTGGCACCCTTTCTGACTCAACCCCATGTAAGTTTCACTTGCTTCATCACTATATCTGGCTACTTTATCGTAGCCTTCACATTGTGAAGGTATATTCCAGCTCTCATCTAATAATTCAAGCTAGGGGGTTTGCTTATTCTTTTCCCTAAGCAGCGGGCTAAAACTGAACTTGAGTATACTTTGAAATTCCCCATTGTTAAAGAGATTTCATATTTTTATAAAACAGAAAATCACTTCTATACTTCCTTAACCTGTTTTCTTTCTAAAATAGATATCTTAATCTTAAATCTCATTTCATCATAACCACAACATACAATAGTTCTGGCTAGCTATTTTTTCCCAGTTAAAACCCTAATAGTTTCTATGTTTACCATTTTACAAAACTGTTTAATATTTACATCGTGCAAATGTCTATTCATTTTGTTATTTGGCTGCTAATAGGTTCTTAAATTGCTTCTAGCTTCCCCTTATCACTAACTTTATAAAGACCATCTTTGCCCATAAGCAGATTCTCTTGTCCTTTCAAATTCATTTTTAGGTTAAATGTAGGAGCTGTAATCCACCTAGAAAAACACTGTGAGTTTTGGAGTTTCTTGTTTGCTTGTTTGGCTGGTTGGTTTTTATTTTTTGGGGGTTTTTTTTGGGGGGGCGGCTGGTTCTTGGTAAATATTGTAAATTACTTTCCAAAAGTCTTGATGCTTATATCACCATACAAATAATGAAATAATTAACCTGGCCTTATAACATCTATGCACATGTTGAATGTTGTATTTTAAGTTTATTAATTTAACAGGAAAACATATAAATACACTCGTTAAATTTTCTGAAACAAAAATATTCTTAGTGAAGCTTGAATTAAATCTGGTTATTAACTTCATATGTCTAAACATGATTTTTAAAAATCTCCCAAGGTTGGGCTTTGGTGTTCTTCCTTCTTATTCTTCAGCGAATCGTCTTGTTTTATAACCAAGATAACTTCTGACTCCTCCCACTGGCTGCACTGAAAGAGAGCTGATAAATATGCAGAATAAATTGTCTTTCTAGTTCTCATGTGCTTCTGACTTTGTGCTAGTTTTCTATAAACTATATGAGATGCTACCAGGAAATGATTTTAATTAATATAAGACCTTTCATTGCTTGACTTCAGTAGCCCATAATATAATATAATATAATATAATATAATATAATATAATATAATAT